ATAAGTATCGTACTTAATAAGTGCCATTTTTTTCTTGGATGGAATGTTTTTTTTTTTCACTTTGATTTCAGCACCCCTGCTTTGACTCTTACATGTGCCAACAGGCCTGAATTAGAGGCTCCTGACCTAAATAGATCCATGTGGCCTTGGCTGGGGCTTCCTCTCTTATCGCTGCAGCTGCTGGGCGAGTGCGCTGCTCTTTGGTGAGAGGAGAGAAAGCTGCACAGGTGCCTCTGATCAGAAGCTGAGAAATTCGGAGCCCAAGTTTTCCCATCTCGGCCTACGGATTTCTGTTTCCAGAAGAGGGCGCGGTGGAAAAGCCCATTCGGAGAACATGATGCGTGTTCATGACAACACTGGGAGCTTGGGAAAACGGCATACCTAATTACACCCCTATGGCTGGTACCAGAAAAAGAGAAGATCTGATGCAGCCTTTCCGTGTTGAAGCTCTTTGTATGGGGATCAAAAGGATGGATCTGCAAACTACGCTTTGATTTTAGTTTTGGCTTGAAATAATTTGATGTAGGAGGTACCGAACCAGGCGTTTACATGAATCCATACTGTACAAGTGTAAAATCGGCACAATGATCCAACTCTGAGAAATGCGGTGAGATTAGGACTGTTTGCAACTGTCCCATTGTGAATTCCCGAGTTTTCTATCATCCCCCTCCGGGCTGGTCAGCTTGATTAAAGAGCCCTGCCGTGTTGCAGCTGACCCTCAACACAGAGCAACACAGGAGTGCTGAGAGGAAAACAGTGCTTGTCTCACTGTGGGCAGGAGCTGGAGTTAAGTCAAACAGGTCATTCATTTTTCCATTAACACAATATTAGCGCGTGGCTTTTGTCCAGAGTAATCTGGTTTTGAGGTTTTGTGCGCTGAGTTAGACACTTTCACACATTGCTGCTCCATTGTCCTCATCTAAATTCTGAGATCAGTTCACAGGTTTGCAAGACTCAGAGGGCCAGCGCTGCCTCGCGCTGTGACAGGTCTAAATATCATTAGGTGAGGGTCAGGATGAAGCACAGTGCAAAGCACAATATTTCTGAGGTTGGCACCAAATGCTTTTTCTCCACCTGCCAGTATTCATCGTTTAATGAAGACTAAAATGGCTTAAATCTTTTGATATTGTTATTAGCAAGAACAGATTGCCTGTTTAGACTGAATGTGTTTTCCCGTTAGCCAATGGGAATAAGATGCTACAGGAAACTTGGGATTTCCTATCAATGACATGGTACAGATGGAGGGAATTTGGGGATTTACCACCAATTCATCCTTCTTAAGATATTGCTTTTAATTGTTAAGGCCAGGAATGGAATCTCTCTCCTTTTCTGACCCTTTTAGAAATCACACCCCTAGTCACATGCTATAACCCTCTAATGCTTTATTCTCATTTGTCCTTACAAACACATTATAAACTATGGGTTTTGGGCCTCATGGTATTATATCTCTTATTAATAAGATCAGGAGTTCTGCATCCTTGCCTGCGTTTAAGTCACCTTAAAACTTACTGGCATGTTAATAGAGTCTAAAACGCACATAGTCTGCAAAGTATATTGCATGGCTGTTTTCACAGAGTCTGTTGTGTGTGTGGAATGGTTATTTTTGAATCTGGTTAATAATGTTTTTTTTTACCTACATTATTAATTGCACAGTGCTTGGTGATATTATGAATGGCACTTCATAACATAAGTTTATCTGTCCGTGTGTCTACAGAATGTGTGTAGATATTTCATGTAACTGGAGCAATAAGAATGTTTCTGTCTCACTGTGCACTCCAGAGACTGTTAATAATGGAGGAGAGGCAGACAGGAGGTCTTTCTTCTTCTGTACCGCCAGACTGTTGTGTGCCAGTCCAACGGGAGCTCGTGGATTCCTACCTTCTCTGAAACTGGCGCGCTGGCAGGACAGTGGTGCCCACCCCCCACACAGAGCAGCCAGCGTGGGCAGCGGGAGGAGGGAGGTTAACTGGGAATGAGTTCACATCAGCCCGGGCTTCTGGACCGCTGATCTTTCCAAATGCCTTTCTCCTCCCTCTGAGGCATGCTCAGCGGCTCTTGCCCTTTTTCTTAAGCCAGAGCCATGAGAAGTGAGGGTCAGCAGGCTGCACTCGAGGACATACAGTATAGCGCAAAGAGTTTGGGACGACCAGAACAAAGGGCTTAGTCCTGCAGTGAGTCTGTCAGGGCAGAGTGTATTCAGGGGGGGGGCTCCATCTATCCAGTTCAGGTAAGCAACAGGTGCAAAGCACCCCCTGGTCATCCTGGACGGGACGCCAGCCCATCGCGGGAAAGGCACAGACATTGACACATTGACACAGACAGGCACACACTCACATCCGGGTCAGTTTTCCCAAAAGCCAATTCATCTACCAGAGTGTCTTTGGATTGTGGGAAGGGACTGGAGGACCTGGAGGAAACCCAGGCAAACATAGGGGGAACATGCAAACTCCACACAGACAGCACCCCTGGTCCGGAATCGAACCCAGGGCTCCAGCGCCTGTGCAGTCCACTTTATTTATTGGCCATATACAATTTCTTGTCCAATCAGGGAGATGATACATCCATGGGAGATGAGGGGGCAGCAGGACAGCTATATGCACTGAATTATGTCTGTGCACTGCGCAGCAAAGCATACCAGCAAAACCAACAACAGTGCTATGAGAAATCTGACTTCAGTGTTAATTGCTCTTTGTAAAACAAGGAAATCGCCTTGTAGTGCCTCCATCTGTTGAGACAAAGGACCTCACGGACAGAGCTCTTCTGTTTAGCTTTTTTATTATCTTTAGATAATATTTTATAATCAGCATACATTTATGTAACATTCACAGTATTGTACACCCAGAACCCTTCGATTCAATTAAATAATATAAATACAAAGCTCCACCGAATTTTCAGTTTTCAGTTTCAGGTCTAGAAATAGGAAGCAGAGTCGTTTCCAGGATTCTCAGATACAAAAAACATACAAGAATAAGAAAAATACTGTCCATATTTTTATATATATATAAAAGTTCTGTTATACAAAATCTCCCAAGTTAATAAAAATGTCCCTTCTTTCTTATTATTATTTATACATATACAATGACAGCGTAACAAAAAACTCATTGCTCAGTACATGATGGGAGTGTGGCCACAGGAGCTGGTCAGTGGAAAGTGTGGGGTAGGGGCGAAGCTGGTGGTCTCCCTGGGGTATAATTCAGTGCTCTCTCTCAGGGTACCCCCAGAAAATCCTGTCCCCCATTTTCATTTTTATAACTGTTTATACAGGTAGTAGGTAGATCCACGAACCTCTCAGGAATTACCCCCTGCTATGCTGGTCCCTACTTATACAGCTGGGAGGACTGGGGTATCGTACCTCGCTCAAGGTACAAGAGTAGTGTCTGCAGCAGGGACGCGAACCTGCAACCCACCAGCCACGGAACAGAGTCTTAACCATTACAGTATGGTTTATATGAGTGGAAATGCTCAAATCTCTACTGGTGGAAACAAGGGTTTGCAAAACTCTCTTTTTATTTGGCAAAGTCCTTGCATTTGAAAAAATACCTACTGGCTTATTATGGGTTATATGTGTAATATATGCATTTTATAGCATTGAAGGAAAAATGTGAAATACTGGCTTAGACACGGGGAAGAAGTAGAAGAAAATCTGTCTAATATCCTTCAACATTTTTTGAGGATTTGCATGAAGTTCGACTCCCCTTCCACTGGTGAACAAAAAAAAGTAGAATTTTAAATCTACATGAACAAATGTATTTGAAACCTGTTCAGAACTGGGTATCATTTTCAGTTTCAGCACTACTGTATGTGCAAATGTGAGTTTATATTTGTATATTAATAGAGATACCTATTAGATTTCCTTCTCTGCATCTCTGGTACTATACATCGCTTCACAAAAGCCTTCATTCCCGAAACATGTTCAGCAGCATCTAGTGTCAGTGTTCACTGTTGGGAGTCCTGTACAGAACAGCAGTACTCAGAGTTAAAGCTGCGCTATTCAGTTGTCTGATTCACCAAGAGACAGGAGAAGAAAGAGAGGCAATCGTCCACTTCTGCCTTCCTATCACTGAAAGCATGTAAATGGAGCTGGTTTCAGCATAGTATTTCTGTCACGCAGACAGCATCGGAAGCACTGCACTGGGCTATAACATTATTCGGCAAGGGACAGTCGAGCACAGAGACACGGGCTTTGCGGCTCTGAAAACCTGCATGTGTGTCTCCACAGCCCAGGCTAAGACTCGGCAACAGGACTCAGGAGAGGGCTAGCTCTGAGAGCAGACGCTCACTTCAGCTTGTCGAGATCGATGTCTTGAAACAGAAGCCTGTTGTTCCTGAAATAGTTCAGGGTTTGAAAGTCATTTTTCTAACCTGGACTGTAGGATGAGACACAAATTGCGAACTGGGGTACCCCACATAGCACAGGCCTAGTCCTGAAGTGTCATTTCCAGCAGAGTTTGTGACAAACTGTTATTGAGTATCATCAGGGCCCTGCTGAAGTTTTTTTCTTCCACACACTCACACAAAATATTTCCCTCAAGACATTTGAACCAGTGATTTACAAGAATTCATTGCTGCTACGTTTTGTTTTTCCCAGCACTGCTGAAGAATTCATTCCTTGTTATGTGTAATGCTACAAATTAGAAACACAACTGGCCTGTACATCAGTGTAAACATTCCCAGTTTGAAGTGAGGAAAACGTTTAGACAATGAGGGTAGTCAGCTGCAGGTTAGGGTGGGAAAGACATTGTGCTTCTTGGTGAAACCTCAGGGGATGGTGGTGTTTCTGATGTCGAGGGTGGGAAACTCTTCCTTTTCCCTGCAAACTTCACTGCACAGCCCTCGGCCCAGATACACCCCAACACACGGGTCACAAGGGACCTCGTGCAGTTTTTAGAACTTACCCTGTCATTGTCAGGTAAAATGTAAAATCAACATGGCTGTAAAAAAAAAAACTTTTCATCTCCAGTGGTCCTAACACTAAACCAATCGCACCTTTACCCAAGTCATTTCTTAACTCCACAGTTGTTTCTGGCTCATGTTTCAGAATGCAAGAGAAAGTAATCAGGCCTGGTTAGGGTTTCCATCTGAAAATGCACAACTCCCATTTTAAAGTCCCATGCAGAATTCCAACACAGAAACCGTGGAGGATCCAATGAGGTCATTAGGGGTTTGGTTTTTAACATCTCGTGAACATGAAAATGTTTTCAGTTGTGTTTTGTACAACATGCATGATTGTTTTGTAGTGCATCATTGGAAGAGAACAGGACAGCATCCACAGCCAGCTGTGTGAGTTTACTGTAGTCACCCCCACCTCTGCTGTGATTTGCACCTCCCTCCTTGTGCTCGCTGGACTGGATCCTGCTAGCTGCAGATTGCAGGGGAAGGTGAAATTTCAGGGGGCCCGTTTTCAATATAGCGATTATGAAATGGTTTGTGCTTCAGCTGGATACTCCTAACTCTGGCCACACCAGGGCCCTGGTCCCTGTCTCTGAAAAAGCACATGAATCAGCCAGAGGATTGGGGGGTTCGCCAGTGCTGTAGCCCACGAGCTGCAACATTCTGGCTTTACACACTAACACCTCACTCCTAGCATGTCCTGGCTGCCACATCGCTCCCTGCCTGACGCCATTCTGACCTCCAGTCGTCTCCGTTTATTTAAAAAGCAAGAGAGGTCAAGACGCTGCTGCTCACACAGCAATAAAATATAGGTAAAAAAAAGGAAAAGTGAAATAAATACAACAAAGGTAATGATGTACTGTACCCTTCATCAGATCATGACTTCCGGCCACAGAAAGCAGCGCTATAGAGCACTCAGAAACGCTACAGAGCATCCACTGACTCATTAGTGCAACTAAAGTTCCTTCATTAGTCTTTAACAGTGTAGCGCCTCATACACAGTATAGGGCTTGTCTGACAGATGGATCTACTCCAGATGTACACGTGCTGTCCTCTCTGATGTAAGGACCACATCCTAAAGTAGACGTGAATTTTGAAAGTCCAGTGTCACTCCACCTTGCCAAAATACGCCCACACTTACAGTATATCACTGTAAGTGTCTTAGGAAGCATCGGGAAAAGTTATTATTTGAAAGTAATCCATTACATTTCCATGTTACTAATGGAATACTTAATAAAATAAATAAGTTGTTTGGAGAAATTGATTTTAATAGGTAATGCTACTACTACTACTACTACTTTACATTGTCCATATACACATACTACAGAAAGCACTGTAAGTGATGGCTTTTTAAATAATTTCTTTACCTTCTTAATTGAAAAAAAGTGATCCCTTGCACAAGTAACTCTTAACTGTAATGGATTATTTTTCAAAACTAACTTTCCCCAGTACTTGTGCTTAGGACAAGCTCATCCTTCATTATCTGAGCATCGTCAACCCAAACACATGGCTGTACCACAAGAGGAGAAGCCTGTTGCCAGGAATCAGTCTCCAAGGTCATCCGTACCTTTTTTTCGTGCTACATCACACTCTAGAAAGAAAAGAAAAATCTCTCTCTCTCTCTTTGCTAGGCTAAAAAGCCAACAGTGTTGGACTTATTTTAAAAACAGAAATAACATTCACACGTACCACTTGTCTGAAAGAGTTAATGTACAGAAGGTGCCTGTAAATTTGGTGTATGACATCTCAAACTCATGCTGGACGCTAGAAATATCCCCCGTCTTCAGGGAGCAGGCTGCATTATGTTCCTGTAACCAAACGCAAGATTCGGAAAAAGCAGAATTCTTCTCCTGTCTGAGGAAAGATCCATGGGATATTGGCATTTTTGTTCCAGTGTGCAGTACCAACAGGACAGAGATTACATTTCCTTCCGAGATTAATACTAAATTAGAACTTGATGGTAAGAAAATCCTAAACACCCTGCAAAGGACAACAGGGATCCTGGTTTAATAGGAAATAAACAGGAGTAATTATTGATTAGACTGTAGTTCTTTTGTAAGAACCAGTTGTAGTTCTTCTGTTGCTTGCTAATGATATTAAAGATCCTGTGTCATTTATGAAGCCACAACACCATTTCACATTGAGCAGCTAATAAGTGCCAAGAAATGTGTGGTACTGGTCTGAGACAGAGTACAGATCCCCCAGACATAAAGAAGCAGCAACAGGCCTCTTGATGTAATTTGTCCAAAGTAAAAGCTATTGTGCACAATAAATAATTGAAGAGTTGCGTGTGTGGGCATTATTATACAAATATGCAAATATTTTTTTTTACCAAGACTTAACTTCTGGTTTCGTGATGAGGGAAGTAAGACTGTAGCTATTGTGCTCCTACTGGGAACGGTCTATTGTCATTTTTAATTCCTTCCTTCACAGTTGGCTAACAGTTCCTATTTCATTTAATTGAATTGTTTGAGTCGAAATGGCATCACTAATGACGTCTGCTCTTAGAGTAAGTAAACAGGACAGAGACTGAGCACGAAGAATGAAAATTAAAGTAAGGCTATCTTAGTGAACCCAAGGCACCTCCGTACAGTAACCAACAACTGATCTGCAGCCCAGGAGTGTTCAGAACTTGAAAGACTGCTTCATGGGCTCCAGATTTGAGTTCCATGTGTTTTTGATGCACGGAACATCATTTGAGCAGGTTCCGCCCAAAATCATTCAAATCTATTCTTGTTGTTTTAGAAATGAGGTATTACACTATAAAAAATGATATAATCAAGGTATCGCAGGATCCAATTTTTTTCCAGTTTTTGTATGACTTATCCACAACCAGACAAGTCTGTTCCATGGATCACTTTAAAAGCCTTGGAATCCCTCCTCCCATGAGCCCGTGGGACAGGAAGGGGCGGGGCTATAGGGTGAGGATGTTGCCATCCTCGCGCATGCTCTCCTGGCTGGTGCTGGTCTTGCTGGGGCTGCCGTTGTGGGTGTTGAGGGAGCTGAGCGAGGCCTTGCTGTCGGACAGCGAGCTGTGCAGGGAGACGCTCTGCTGCAGGTGCCTCAGCAGGCCCGGCTGCCCGCCGTTGACCATGTCCGCCGGCAGGTAGGGGGGCAGGTTGTCGTTCTCGATGATGAGGTCCCCGTCCTCGTCGCTGTCCCCCTCGGCCGTGCTGTAGTTGCTAATGTACTGGGAGGCCGGGCTGGGCGTGCTGTCGTTGGAGAAGCCAGAGCTGCCCGAGGCCTTGCTGTTGCGCACCACGTTGTTGCGCTGGTTGGCCGGCTTGACGGTGATGATGAGGTTGTGGCTGTTGGCCACCATCATGTCCGTGACCTGGTCCAGGGACTTGCTCACCACGTCGATCCCGTTCACCTCCAGGATCTCGTCGTTGACCCCCAGCAGCCCCGTGCTCTCGGCCAGCCCGTTCTTCACCAGCCGCGAGATGAACACGCCCGGCACCTTCTCGACGCCCTGGGGCGTGACCCGCACGCTCATGCCGTCCCGGATGTAGAAGCCCAGCGGCTTGTCCGAGCCGTGCTTGTGCAGACGCACGCGGCGGTGCGTCTCGGGCAGGATGTCCACGTCGATGATGGAGGAGATCTGCCGGAAGTCCTGGGGCAGCCCGATGGGCAGGTGCTGCTTGTTCTTCTGGGGGGTCGGCCGCAGCCCCGCTAGGACCTTCTTCTTGCGCGGCAGCGAGTTGGTGGCGAAGGCGGCTGCATCGTCTTCTTCTGCTGGAACGAAAACCGAGAACAGAGCCGTTACACTGTGACATCAGGCCTTTTCTCTTGAGCCCTTTATTTATCTATTGCAAATCCTCCGTTTCACGTCAGCTGAGAACAACATCTCGTTTACAACAGCGGCCCGGACAGTCAAGTACTTTGCCTGCAGGGCACAATGGCAGCGCCCCACCCAGGATTTGAACAACAACAACACTGTGGTCTGGGGGGTCCAGAGTTAATCATTATAATAATTGCTTACACTTATATAGCGCTTTTCTGGACACTCCACTCAAAGCGCTTTACAGGTAACGGGGATCCCCTCTACCACCAGCAGTGTGCAGCCCCACCTGGATGATGTGACGGCAGCCATAGTGCGCCAGAACACTCCCCACACACCAGCTCTCAGTGGGGAGGAGAGCAGAGTAATGAAGCCAATTCATAGATAGGGATTATTAGGAGGCCATGATTGGTAAGGGCCAATGGGAAATTTAGCCAGGACGCCAGGGTAACACCCCTACTCTTTTCGAGTACAGTTCCTCACTGTTGCTGTTTTCTGTTCATTTGCAAATGGCTTGAACAAAGGCCATTTGCCCCGCCCCTCAACAAAAACAAAAACAGATTCCATTTGCTGACATCACAAGTGAACAAACCTGCAACAACACAGCATAACCCTGGCCTTAACCCAGGCACTGCACATTTTGTTTTTTTTAAAAAAAGAGATATTTCTCTCTGGCTACCAGATATTTCTGACTTCAAGGTTGCTGCTCTCTCTTCTCGGGTTTCCCTGCAGAGATCCAAACCTGATCTTATTGAGGCCTGAGGCAATAATTCCCCTCTCTCCCATCTCTCATCTGCAGACACTGTTGACCAGGCAACCTGCCAGCCCATTTTCACTGTGGAGTGAAGAGACTGATGCCAGGATAGATCTCCTCTCCTTCACTCCGGCTGTCAGCCAGGGGTCTGTGTTGAATCGGAACTCCTGGTGAGTGTCTAGTGGCAGCAGTAACAGCTCCGAGATGAGTGCAGCTTAAAAGCTCCCCTCCAATTTCATTTGTGCTAGAAAATGCTTCCTAATGGGGGAGGGGCCGGGCACAAAACCTTTCTGTCAACTCCTTCGATTTCTTCTGCGGCCCTGAAACCTGTCCTTCTTTTTAGATTTAACCTTTATTTCGAAGTATTTTTAAAATCCGGGACAAAAAAATCCAATATCCTAATTGAAGAAAATGCTAATTTATCTCGGAAATTCTCTCATTTAGAGATTAGGAAACGGTAGATTTTCTTTAGAGAAAGAGGTACATTTAGAAAACTGGTAGCCATCTTGAATAGTACGTTTAACACTTTAGTTATGAAGTACTAAAGGTTACACATATCTTTTGATGGTAACGTACTCTCTAGGATAAGAGCATTATAATGTAGAGTCTCAGCTGTTATGCCCGGAGCTGTAATAATGTTGCTTTAGCTCAGTGGCCCTCTGCAAGGCAGCATCTGCAAAGCACACCTGATGTAACACAACAGAGGGGTTCCTCTTATTCCTATTGCAGAGGAAGTGCCCCGAGGACAGAGCTTTAACCTTTGCAGGGCTATGTAGATAAAACAGAATCATTTTGGTCTCGTCACAGTGCTGGCTTGCACATGTAGCCTCAGTTCAGCAATAGCATGTACTGTAGAATACATGGTCCTCTAGAATTAGCACTAGGAGTTGCCCTGCTTTCAGTCTTAGCTTTGAGGGCCATCTATCATCATTTAAGGTGCTTAAGATAGTAGCCAATTTAGAGATTGAGTGAGAGCTCAGTGATAAGACTGTTCAAGGATAACCTGCTTGCCTTGCTACTGGTATATTAATTAATAACCTACAGTATTTGCTGCACATCGTTTCTGTGCCACTCTGTGTTACACGAAGACCTTTGCAGGGCTTGTTCTATGGGCAGCATGGAGGGGTGGTAAGTTAGAGATGCCATCTTGTGCCCATTGTGTGCCAGGGTAGGCTTCATCTCCCTGTAGCCCTGTATTGGACTGAGCAGTTAATGAGCTGCATGGTCTTTAGCTCAAAGACTGGGATTTCTGTTTTTCAGAGACTTATGTGCCCAACGTATTTTGTTTACTGCATGACAGCACAAAACAACGCAGGCTTAACCATGAGCAATGAAAATCTTCTCCAGACCATTAAGTTGTGGAGATTTGCAGCTACTGGAAGAGAGAATGAATCCTAGTTTCTCTGAGAATTTAACAGCAGCTAGAATATTCCTAAGACTTCTTACAGATAAAATTGGAATAATAATAACCTGTAACTTACTGGAAATATCCAAGTGTGCTCTGAAGATAAGGAAACAGAGACCAAAGACTTTCCACACACTTTAATCCCCACTTTCCCTCTCTTTTGATCATCCATACTTACAGTACAGGACAAAAGAGGGCTTCAAATGACTTGTCTAAAGAAATACTTCCCCAGCACTGAGTACTTTAGTCAGTCATTAAAAAAATAAGATACATAAAAGTATCAAACAGTAAAAAAAGATTAGAAGTGTTGACTGACATGCATTTCTATTAAAAAAGCCTCTTTTGCATTTAATGGCATGCAATTACAATCTCTTTTTGGGTGAATATTGGACTCCCGGAGTTGTTCAGTGTATTAAAAGAAAGATGCATAAAGGAGAAAATAGACTTTGCAGAGAAAAGTACACATTTCTACACGTGTAGCTCAACACAGTTAAATAAGCATAGCATCTAAAGTGGAGAAAGATTCATCGGGAATAGAATGCTGATCTCAACAGCTGACAGACATATGCTTGAAACTCCTGTTCTGGAAATACTGACATGTGACATGGACTGTTGATTTGGATTTACCAGCGCTGTGACGGTTCTTTCCGAGTTGTACAACCCTAGGAGCTTGCGGTGTAGTTGCATCAAGCAGCAGCTCTGCTGAAATATCGGAACAATTCTTATGTAAAGAAATCAAGAGACCTAATAGGAGTGTGGCGTCCAGCTGGTGTAGCCATCCCATACATATATTGTTCATGGTGCATCATGAACGGCCTATTGATGGCACTCAGTCAGGAGCCCATCAGGGGATCGGTCAGTTTACAATATCAGAGGGAGCAGTGTGCTGCGTCCTTCTGTGGGAGTGGGGAGTGCTATCTTAGTCTCGGGACTCCAGTAAGAAGGCCAAGGAAAGAAAGCAGGACTGGACAGATGGAGAATGTCCTTATGTTCTCAGTGTTGATTTCTTTGGGGGGGTTAGTCTGCCTGCACATCTTGGTCTATTCTTAATCTGATCTTGTGCGCTCTCTCGTGGTGCCTGTGGAAGGGGCAGATTCCAAGCTTGAGAAATGTTCCCTTGTGTTTTAACTCTGATCCCTAGAGCTTCCCGCACCGTGCTCACTGCAGTGGCAAGGAGATATTATTGACTAAGACTGGGTGTTCCTACTTCAGCAAAGACGACTATACAAAGACCAGAAAAACTACTGCATGAAAATGCATTTGAGGAAATAAAATTGTACGTTTCTTCTGTGTGCTTAAGGACTGAAAAGCCTAGTGCACTCGGTCTTCTGATTCTGCTGGCTGGCCTGTCCCATAGATAGGTGGATTTGTGAGGCTTAATTGGCAATGCTGATGAGGTGTGATGCTCCAGGGCCACCTCAAAGGCACATGGGTCGGGGAAGAAGATCTGCGAGTACAAAATAAGCCTTTCCCTGGGCCTCCTGTTTCCAAGTGGGACACAGCATTCCAGCTGCTCATCTCAAAGTTAAGTGATAGCTAGGCTTGATGTGGTAATGGACACGCTGAATATCCATGCCTGCAAGACATTGTTATTCACAAGAGCACGTCCGAAAGGTGGTGTGTATTCTCTGACACTGGAGAGAATTGAACAAATCTTACAAATCTGGTTGGCAAATAGCTGGGAATACCACACACGTTTGTGCAATGAAACAGATACACCCAGCTTCTGTAAATATAGTGCCAGCCTACTGGGGGCACACACCTTCAGTTCTGCCAACAGTAACTATTCACAGATTTCACCTCGTCAGAGGAATGGTGCCTCCTCATCACCATGAGGTCACGATGCACAATTGGGGCCTCTCTCTGCACTGCACTGAGGCTTTCTGGCATTAATTGACAGCTACAACAAACAAATGGACACTTGTCATTTTTTTTAGACTGTTAAAAACTTTATCTAAATGACCTTTTATGATTCTGTCATTGAAGTATGCATGTTGCTACTAGGGAAAAAAAGCAATTCTGAAATCATCAAGATCATTGTTGATGAATCCATTTACGCAGGCGGTGGGTAATTATCTGCAGGTGTACTGTTAGTCACATTCGGTGGGAGCACAGCCACTAGAAATAAAAGCACTTTCAGGATAATAAAGTCATTTGTAAGCGATCATTCTGCCGCTGTATGGATTGTTTCACTGCACTGTTGTCGGCCTCGGCCCCTCTCCCCTGTCCCAGCTCCTATTCCTTCTCTCCTCCTCTCGCCCTCCCTCTGGTCTCATCTCCACAAATGAGGATCACTGGGCCAGACCTCCATCTCTGCGCAGAGTAATTTGTTTCAGAACTCAGCAGGGGGAGGGAATAAATGATGTGAGACAGTTGCCTGGTTACCAGGTCGCAAACCAGCACAGCATAAAAAAAAATAATGGAATAAAATAAATATATAAATGAGCATAAAACAAGGCACCTGAGCCCTACGTTGGCGAGTCAGGAGGGATGGACACAGCCAGTAAACGTACAAAATGGCACCTAAATAGCCTCAATTCTAGCAGGTTACTTAAACTAGATTAAGGAGGCAGATCTTTGATTGAAATGCTATTAATCCAGTTAAGACTTCTCTGTTCTACATCTTGTCTCGGAATGTAGTTATTGAAGCATGCAATGTTTATAAAAGGCTGTGTTTGAATCTTTCGTGGCTAAAAAAAGCATTAACCTGTTTCTGGCCACGTGTCCAAATATGTTAAAACTGTGAGCCATTCTGCTACATGCAAACACTTTTTAGATTTGATAAGCAGTCTACA